TAAAGCATGCCAGGGTGGGCAGGTGCCTGTAATCCAGCTCTCAGGAGGCTGAGGCAGGAGATCACTTGAACCTGGGAGGTGGAGTGCTGCAGTGAGCCGAGATCACGCCATTGCACTCCGCTTGGGACAATGTGAGACTTTGTCTCAAAAAATAAAATGCCCAATAGTCGCAAATGCTGTGGCTGATGCTCCACAATGCACACTTGGTCTCCTCTAGGTTTCTGGAGTCCGGGTCCTAGAAACCTATTCATCTTACTTTGCCATAAATGCGTCCCACCTACTGTGGCACAGAAAGGGCTCGCGTAACATGGGGATTCTCCATTTTTCTTTTTTTGAGACGGAGTTTCGCTCTTGTTACCCAGGCTGGAGTGCAATGGCGCGATCTCGGCTCACCGCAACCTCCGCCTCCTGGGTTCAGGCAATTCTCCTGCCTCAGCCTCCTGAGTAGCTGGGATTACAGGCACGCGCCACCATGTCCAGCTAATTTTTGTGTTTTTAGTAGAGACGGGGTTTCACCATGTTGACCAGGAGGGTCGCGATCTCTTGACCTCGTGATCCACCCGCCTCGGCCTCCCAAAGTGCTGGGACTACAGGCTTGAGCCACCGCACCCGGCTGATTCTCCATTTTTCAAAGGAGGGGAACAAAAATCATCGGAGTTGCTCAGAAGCTAGTGGTGGGGCCAGAAAGACCACTGAGGACCCGAGGCACCCAAGTGAGTGCTACAAGCTCTAGTTGCCTCCCTAACTCCCACCCCATTGGGTACAGTGAAGACATAGCAGTGCCCCCATCCCTTGCCCAGTTACCCAACTCCAAGGAGGGTCTAGGGAGCATGGGATGGTGGAGGAGAGGGGAGGAGAGGGGAAGAGAAGTTCATGCTCTTACTGAGGAGTAGGTGGAGGAGGCACTGGAGGCCAGGGACAGCACTGAGCCGTGAACTGAAAGAGAAGGAGAGACCAAAGAGGTTACCCGTGGGTTCCAGGGACGGGGGCTTTTGGGAAGAGCCCTAAGGCAGGAGTTTGGATTCTGATTTCTGGAGGGCATCTGGAGCAAACAGAAAGAACAGAGTAGGGAACCCAACTGGTATCACAACAGCTCAAAGCAAGGTCTTAAGTCAAGCTAGCCTCCTCTTTCAGCCTACATTCTCTGGCGGCCTGGGTATGGCAGTCCCTTGCTCAGCCTGCTTCGAGGGGCACAGGGTTTCAGAGAAGGGAAAGGAGACTTTCATGGAGAGTCGTCATCTTATCTTCCCAGCCAGGAAAGCACTTTAGCCGCAGGAGAGGGGAGTTTCTCAGAACAAATACTGCAATTCTGCCTGTGCCGCCTCCTCTCAGCACTGGGGGATGTGCTTAAGATCTTGGGGATCACTCAGACGAAAACGATATTTAAGTGAGGAATACTCGTTCTGATTATTCAGTAGAACTTATGGTTAAAGCCTGTCTGCAGGGAATGCCTCCTGGAATGACTATCCTGAAAATCACAATGGGAGATCTAACCTACTAGTATTAGCCTGGTCTTCTAGCTCTGATCAACACTAACACCCGGATCACCACCAACAATCAGATGGCCCTCCCTAATGCTCATCTTGGAACAGTTTTGAAAGAGGAATGAGATGCCTAATTATTGTAAGGATTTACTAAGAGCTACTATTATTTCCTGTTGTCTTTTCATATACTCTGAGAGACTGTGGGGAGGAAAGACTATGGCTAGAATGGGGAGGAGAGAAGCTGTGGTTTTCAGAGCATCCTGAGGCGTGCCCTTTAACCCTTCCATGCTCAGTTTCCCTCCCCCAGCCCCAATGATGGATGCTCCATCCCAATACCCCAGTGCTAGACGTGCCACCCAAGGTTTCTGGGCCCCCAGACCCTTCAAAGGGATGGGGAGAAAAAACTGAAATGGCCCAAATTGATGTTCTGTGAATCGTATGTGTGTGTGGTGGTGGGAGTGGTGGGAGTGGAGGTGGCAGGTGAGGGGACCCAGCAGAGCTGGAATGAGTGTGAACGCGCTGGCATGGAGTCTCACCATCGTCCGTGGGGTCTCGGAAGGATCCTGACCGAATCATTCCCTGGGTCTCTCGGCCAGGGACAGGGTGCTCCCCATTTGGGAGCCGCTGTACAGCTCGAAGGCCGCCTCGTGGGTGGGGATGCTGTTGGAGCGGGTGATTCTTGGCGTGGTGGCCGCAGTGGGACTCACTGGAAGGACAGAGGGAAGGGGGACAGGAGAGGGAGGGGGAGGGCGGGAAAAGAGGCAGGGTCATCAGCTCTCCGGGCCCTTGGGGGATGGAGCACCGGGAGCATGAGAGGCAAACGGGGAGAGGGCAGGAGAGGAAGGGGCAGGTGCGGTGGTGGGAGTGTGCCAGCAGCTGGTGGTTAGGAGTGGGGGTCCCTCCTGGGGAGATCAAGCCTTGATGGAGAAGGACCCTGCTGTCTGGAATAAAGACCTTCCCTCAACCTCGCCTGTCTCAGAGTTGTTGGTTTTGAAGGTTAGGCTGGGGGCCTGGCAGCTTTTTCGAAACCTTCACATCGCTAGGATGTGCTGATGAAAATGAGATGCTGCGGTTCTCTAAAACACAACTTCCAGCTCGGGAGGACTGAAAATTCAAACCAAGATCCAGATCTGAATGATGAAAAAGAACCAGCTAGAGAAGGGGTTTGGGCTACAGGATCCAGTGGCCTTGGCCTTGTAGAAGGGCCTGAGTCTCCCCACAAAGCAGTGTCACTCTGAGTTACTGGGCTGGCTCTAAAGCATCAAGAAATATGGTCCTCTTTGCCTAGCATAGCCCTGGCTTGAAGGTCAGATGGACAGGGCAGGTGAAAGTGTCAGGCAAGGCTTGTGGAATGTGCTTTGAAGCTGGTCTCGGCTGAATCCTGTTACCCTGCAGATGCCTTCCCCCTTTGCCCCTTGCTGGGATTACAGCCTTTCAGGGTTCCACACCCACAAGGAGCTCCCCTGTCTATTCTGCCTCTACACAGGCAGGTGGATGTCTCATCTGTCCATAAAGACCTATGCAGAAGATGGCACACCTCTCTGTTGACCTTTTCAAATTCCTCAGGTAATGATTGCTTAACCCAGTCCCTTGTTCTGCAGCATAAATGCAATTCTTGTTTGGTCTTCAATGGAGGTGGAGAACAAGCTGGCCCCATCCTCCATTTAATAGCCCTTCAGAAGCCAGATGATCCTTTCTGAAGAATGGTTCTTTTTCCTAGGCCAAGCGATCCCAATTCCTAGTCTTTCCTCAAATTCCCCACAGTCATTGCATGGGTGTGTTACAGGTCCTTGTCTTTTATTAAGTGATTTCTTTACTCAGCTGAAGAAGAGATGGATTTAAAGAGATGCAGCAAGCAGATAACAGGCCTATCCCAGGTACTGTTCCTGAAAGGGTTCCTGATAGGCCAATCCTGGTGTACCGCTTCCTAGAACCGGGGCTGATGAGCTTCCATGCTAGGCAAGACCCTCTACCTGACGCCTTCTCTCCTCTCTGTCTCCAGGTCACTTCCTTATTCCCTCGCTCTCCTCTGTGCTTAGGATTTGGGAAGGGTGTGTCCAGGACACATCTTAGTCAGCCCTGCCTTCAGGGTTAGGATGGCGTGGGCTCAGCCAGAGCAGTTGAGGAATCAGGACTTGGCTGCGTTCGGAGGCAGATCTCGTCCTTGGCAATCAACAACCTTTCCCTCCTTCCCCCACATCAGCCTGACATGTCAGTATTGCCCTTTCATTAGCCGGCCCTAGTAGCACCAGGTGTGGTGGCTCCTTTCCGGCAGCTCGATGTGCCTGCTCTTGCACTGGTTTGATCTCTGGGCATCGGGTTGCGGCTTTTCCATGCCACCGTTCAGACTCTGTGATGCTAAAAGGACCCTATGACTTGTGCCCGGGGGCAGCTTTTCAGTTTAGGATCTTGAGGTACTCTACCTTCAGTCTTACTTTGGGTGGATAAACTGAGGCACCATGAAGCAACCCAATAGAGCATGAGTCAAATAGGAGATGAAACCCAGAGCCCACCTGCCTTGCCTCACCCTGCAAGGTGACCCCTGCTTCGCCCCATGCCACAGCGAGTGACTGAAAACACTAACCTATGTTGGTAAGTTGGCCCTTTGCACTCAAAGACATGGGGAGTGCAGGGGAGAAGGCAGCTCTGACTGGTCATCGGATTCAGGCAGCCCACCAATGGTATGGGAATGTCGCCTCTCCTTGGTCTCCTCCTGGGACTGAAGCTGGTACCTGTAGGAGGCAGCAGAAGAACTCAGTCTGGGATTAGCAAGCGCAGTCAGAGGTTTAGTTGGTGTGGAGGGTGTCTGAGCTAGGCCGGAGCCAGGAGATTCTGAAAGCAGGACAAAGAAAAGAGGGAGTGGCCAGGGCTCCCCAAGGAGGGAGGAAGAGATTGGGACTCAGCATCCTCCCCAGACCATCCAGAGGATGTGGAGGGACTAGCAGGTATTCCCGTGAGGGTTCCTGAAGTGGGGGCAGAAATGATGGAGAAGGTATGAGAACTTCTCCCCTGAAGTTCAGGACAGAGACTTATGCTTCCATGTGCAGGCTTTCAAATTTCAAGAGTCAGTCAGGCGCAGTGGCTCACACCTGCAATCCCAGCACTTTGGAAGGCTGAAGTGGGTGGATCACTTGAGGTCAGGAGTTCAAGACCAGCCTGGCCAACATGGTGAAACCCTGTCTCTACTAAAAATACAAAAGTTAGCTGAGCATGGTGGTGTGCATCTGTAATCCCAGCTACTTGGGAGACTGAGGCAGGAGAATCACTTGAATCTGGGAGGCAGAGGCTGTAGTGAGCTGAGATTGAGCCATTACATTCCAGCCTGGATGACAGGGCAAAACTCCATCTCCAAAAATAAGAAAGTTGCAATAATCGCCACCCAACTGAACAACTCAATGCTGTCAGAAGAGTGGATGACCAGGTAGGTCCTGCCTCTTGCCCAGCTGAGGGACCCAAGAGGCGAGCTGTTCTCCCTCAGACTCTAAGGGAGGAAAATTACAGAGATGAAGTTCAGCCAGGATTGGGATGACATAGACTAGTATAGGTCAGTGCATGATTCCCATGTGCAGACTCGTTTCTCCCCAGCACCAGAAAAAGAACACTTGCTGTAAAAGTTGACTCACATAATATTAAGCTTGGGCAGGGTGCTAGGTGGTACTTGTATGGGACCACATATAAATGATTCAGCAAAAAGGGTGACTAAATTCATGACTGGAGCCTGGGACAGGTTGAGATATGATTTTTTATACATACCAGGAATCCCATTTATAGGGAAGAAAAAACACATTAAAGGGTTACCTGAGCCCTTTCTTGGGAAGAGTATTCCGATCCCGCTGATTACTGTGGAGATAAAAAAGAGAGAGAGAGAGAGAGAGACAGAGAGAAGCATGTGGGTCCATCTTAGGAGCTAGAGTTTAGGACACCTGGTGTGAGGTATGCAGACCCCTAGATGCAGGACATCAGACTATGAGCCTCTTTAGCTCTAGAAACAAAGAGACAGCTATAGCCTGCTTCTTAGCTTACAACTTGGGAAATTTTCTGAAATACTAAATGTCTTTTCTCTGATTAGAAATTAATGTATGGTTAGCTATTTAAAGATCATATTATAGAGCCAGGGACAGTGGCATGAGCCTGTAGTCACAGCTCTCGGGAGGCTGAGGCAAAAGGATTGCTTAAGCCAAAGGGTTTTGAGTCCAGTCTGGACCACACAGTGAGATCCCCCATCTCAAAAATAAAAGATCAGATTATAGCAGTAAAAACTACCACATAGGTAGTTTGATAACCTTGGCCTATAGGGGGAAGGGAGGGGAAAAGTAGGATATAATATAATAGAAGAGATTTTGGGCAGCCGGGCACAGTGGTTCACGCCTGTAATCCCAACAGTTTGGGAGGCCAAGGCGGGGGCAGATCACTTGAGGTCAGAAGTTCACGACCAGCCTGGCCAACATAGTGAAACCCAGTCTCTACTAAAATTACAAAAGCTAGCCAGGCATGGTGACTATAATCCCAGCTACTCAGGAGGCTTAGGCAGGAGAACTGCTTGAACCTGGGAGGTGGAGATTGCAGTGAGCCGAGACTGCACCATTGCAGTCCAGCCTGGGCAACAAGGGAAAAACTAAAAAAATAAAGTAATAAATAAAGATTTTGGACTAGGAAGCAAAAGCTCTGGATGATAGGTTAACCTAATTATGAGATCTTGGATAAGTCATTTAACTTCTTTGTGCACTGGTTTTTCCATTTGTAATAAAAGAATAATAATTTTAAAACAAAAACGTATCTTACCTATCTCCTGGAGTTCTTGTGAAGCAAATTAAATTACTTAATGTATGTGAAAAATTGCAAAAGTCACAACATGACAATAAAACATAGGATAGTATTGCTAATGGCGAAACATGCCCAAGACACAGCCACAGGCTGTGAGGTTCTGCTGTCTTATCTACCTACCTGTCCAATTGCCCAGCTCTGGGGCTTCCACTCCAAGTCAGCTCTTCCGTCTCTTCCTCTGGGGGAGCAGCAGGGGGAGCAGGTGGGGTGGGGATGGGAGTACTGCTGGGGAAGGCACTGGGCAGGCTCATTGGCATCTGGAGGGACTCCATGCTCCTGTGCAGGCCTGAGAGTTTGGGGTACATGCGGGTCTCTTTTGGCACACTGAAACCACTCATTAGCTCCAGGCCCTGGGAGAAGCTGGCTGAGTTAATATTGAGGATGGGTGCCGGACTAGGGGTGAAGCAAGAAGGGAGAGGGCCCCCGGATGCTGAGCTTGTAGCATGCAGATCTGGGACCTTTGAAGCATGGGCGGTGTCACTGGATGATGGTAGATCCAGACTGTTGGAGTTGACCTTGTCTAGATTGGCTAGTGACGGTGGTTTGACAAAGCTCTTCGCTGTGGCCCTGAGAGAAGATCAAACGAAATATTTAGAATAACAGAATTACAGAGCGAGGCAGATAGGAGCTTAAAGAAATCTTATCCAGTCTTGTTTTCTATTTGCTAAGCACAGAGGCTTATCCTAATGCTGTTGTGAAATACAATGGAAGGAAATCTGATACCCAACTTAGGGCACCTTCAGCTGAGATAGGGGGAACAGCTTATGTACATGGGGGATACAAGCGAATTTATGCAAATAGGTATTTATGTGTAAATAAACAGTAAAATCATCCACACACGTGCTGAAGACAGGTTAAGGATTGATCAAAGAATAGTACAAACGGGGTCAGTTTTGAATCAGTCTTTCAGAACTTTCAGAAACGAGATTCTTTGCGAACCTTGGCACACAAGGGAGATGCGGAGGCCTGGAGACAACAGTGGATAGGCCATGCCTCACCCAGTTAAGGGGGGCAGAGATACGCCAAAAAAATGACAAAAGCAAACAGACAAGGAGGAGGCTGCCCACACTGGGTACCTGAGAGGGGTTGGTGGCAGCTCTGCCAGCTTGGTGGCTGTGGGGTGGCTTGGTTGGTTCTTGGGAGTACTTTCCGGGGAGCCAATACTCTTCAAGGAGATGCTGTCTGAGTCCAAGGCCACGGCCTTGGCTTTGGCCTTCTCCTTTTCCCGATCTGTCTGATTGACAGGGGCTGGAGTGGTCCGCCCACTGGCTACTTTGGTAGGCTCCTTCAGTCTGGAAGGTGTAAGGCCTCCCTGCTTGGTGCTGAGGAGACTGGGGTCAATGCTGCTGCTCACAGGGCGAGGTCCCCCCCGCCCGCCGGTCACGCTCATGGAACTGGACTTGGCTGGCCGGGGCAGGCTGCGGTACTGGATGTTGGAACGGGCTCCGGGAGCCAGGAATCCTGGCTCTGCACTGTTGGACACATCTAAGCTAGTCTTGCGCCCATTTACTGGCTTGACAGGGATGCCCGAGGACTTCTGGATCTTGCTGAGAGTGGCTGAACCACCGGTTTGCATGACGGTGGCTGTGCCTGTGGCAGGAGGAGGCTTCTTGTAGCCAAAGGATCCTGAAGTGGAGGGGCGAGCAATGCCCGAGGGGGGCTTCTTAGCATCACTCAGGCGGTCCCGACCAGCATCAGAGGAGGAACGTTGGAGACCAGTATTCTTTACTGCAAGCTTACCCTTGTCTGTAGCTTTGCCCTCGGGTTTGCCTGCAAGAGGACAGGAAGTGAGATAAGAGCTGAAACTGACCAGTATCTTTAAAACCCATCCCTTTCTTTCCCTCCATGGGAGAAGGGAACATTGTCCATGTATTACAGAATTTTAGAGGCCTAAATATGGATAAACAGGTACAAGATAAGCTGATAAAGTTTCTTGTCTGAAAGATTCTGGCTGGGAGGGGTGGGGAAGCTAGGAATTTTTTTTGATTTGCTTCCAGAGTTGGATGTTCCATTTTGATTAAAATGGCAGAGGCAAACACAAAGATGATCAAGAACATCCATCTAACAACTGGTTGTGGAAGAGAAAAAAAGGAGGGGAAGCAAATGGAATCGAATTTGACAATATCTCCTGGTCATTACAGACTAGGGGAAAATGCCGATTAAGGCTAAAAGTTACCCAAGGGGCCAACTTTGGGGGAACTATAATCTCTTGCTGTAGCCATTTAATTTCTTGTTTTCTTAGGATCTTTCTGAGATGTCAAGTAATATCTTATGAAGATAAGTACATAGACTGACTAACTTGGAAGCGTTTGGAAGGAGGTCAAACTAGTCTCTAAACAAAATATACTCCCTCCTGTTCCTCATATTATCTGTGATTTTGGCCCAGCCACTCAACCTCTTTGAGTTTCAATTTCCTTCACATTTGTAAAATGGAAATAATAATATCCATCTTTCCTAACTCACAGGACTGTCCTTAGACCAGACAAGGTAATGTATGTTAAAGCACTATGCAAATGTTTGCTATCATCCCGTGGGTCAATGACCACTAAGAAGAGGAGCGACCCAACACCTAGGTCTTTGCGCTCGTGCCTTCCTTTATTCCAGGCTCACCTGCGACTTTGAGGGCACTCTGGGCTGTGTGAGTGATGGGGGAAGTTACAGCCACAGGTGGGGTCTTGCCCTTCTTCAGGGAACCAGGGTGTCCCAGGCTGATGGGCTTTTTCAGTTCTCCGCCCTTGGATGAATCATCACAGCTCTCGGGCCGCTCCCTCCGCCACTTAGACGTCCCAGGTTCCATCTTCAGGCTGCCACTGTCGTACTCCAGTTTTTTGGGGGCCTTTTCCTCTGATTCACTAAACCAGCTCAGCCCACTTTCTGCCAGTGAGCGCTTCTCTGAGTCTGTGCGTAGCTAAAGAAAAGACAAAAAGGCAGAGTGAGATACTTATATGCAGATGGGGAAATGGGTAGCTGACGGGATTGATTTTAGTTAGTACCTGGCGCTCTGCGTCCCAGAGTACTAAGTCAGCCTAGGGTTTCTACCTAGACACCTAGGATTCCCGACAGCAGAGGGCATATATCTCTAGGTTTCTTTTTCTTCTCTAGTTGGAATAGCTCTTACATGTATTACTCTCAATTGTTGTAGAAGTATAGACAATATGACAATATCTAATGTCTTGGTTGAGTAGCCTTAACTTTTTTTTTTTTTTTTTTGCAGGGGGCAGCTCTAAAATGACCCAGTCAAAGGCCTTTGAGAACCGATGGAGTGGGTGTGTACGTGCAACCCCATACACAGACAATGCTGTTTGCCCTGTGGTTCATTTCGAGATGGCAGCTTGGGTGTTTGCAAACTCACGTACCACTATTGTTGAGTTCCTGCGAGAAGCAGTAGGAGTAGTTGGGAGGGAGTTGAGTGAGGAGCTGGCATTGAATTCTTCTGAACTGAGATTGTCTGAGGCATCGCTGAGTCCACTGCTGATGGAGCTGCTTTCATCCCAGCTACAGGACAGGAGAGATGAAGGTTAGCAGTGAAAACAGAAGCCAAGGCAAAAAAAACAAATGTTTCATACTGATGCAAGAATGGCTCTGCACCAGTATACAGGCTAGCCAAAAGGAGAAGACCAGGGGGTTTGCCAGCAACTCAAAGCGTGGCTTAAACGTCCTTGTGATTTGGTGATGTTCTTTTACAAAAGGAAGACACTCTGTCTTTATCTGGCAAGAGAAAATGTTCTATCGCCTTAACAGAAAGGTATATTATAAAGACAAGGTAATTTCTGGATCTATCTAATTATAGAAACCAATTTCCTCTCCCTGTAAACAGCCTCCATTCTTAAAATTACCGTAGCTTTGTTCATTTTTAGATGTGTTCTGCATCTACTCTCCCTCTCCTTTTCTAAAAATGTCTATAACTGGTAATGAGGCCCAGAAAAAGATTTCTCTTTTCTAGAACCTCTTAGACTTGTATCGTTTCTCACCACACCTCCACTTACACAGCCCACCCTATCCTGGGATCGGGTCCTGCTTCTAAACAGCACGTGCTGTTCTTCCGGTAAGTGAACCAAATTTAAGGTGCTGTGGCCTTACAAAGGGGCCAAATTTGTGCAGAATGGATTCGTTTCTCTGCCAATTGACTGAAATATCAGATTTGTGGTATTAGGGAGATACTGCTGTTAAACATCTGGACCTGTAAACATCTGTATCCAACACTACTCCATGCACTAAGTGAACTTACTGCAACCTCCACATCTTCGTAGCTTGAGCTCCACAACATTCCTTTGGCTGTTTTGTTTGTTTGTTTGTTTGTTTGTTTGTTTTGAGATGGAGTCTTGCTCTGTTGCCCAGGCTGGAATGCAGTGGTACAATTACAGCTCACTGCAACCTCTGCCTCCCAGGTTCAAGCGATTCTCCTGCCTCAGCCTCCTGAGTAGCTGGGATTACAGGTGCCAACCACCACACCCAGCTAATTTTTTTTTTTTTTTTTAAAGTAGAGACAGGGTTTCACCATGTTGACCAGCCTGGTCTCGAACACCTGATCTCAAGTGATCTGCCCACCTAGGCCTCCCAAAGTGCTGGGATTTCAGGCGTGAGCCACTGTGCCTGGCCTGGCTGTCCATTTCTGGGCTTAACAAGTTTCAGTCAGAAAGTTTATCCTTAACATCAAAACTAAATAGCTTCCTCTAATATTTATGTTAATTTTCTCTTATTCTATCTTTGTTTGCTATTAACATGTTTCTTTTCGATCACAGGCGTTGTTTTCTAAGCTCAAATTCTGTCTCCTCTAAGCTGTCTTCAAAGGCCCTGTTTTCCAAGTCCTTCCCAATTCCTTTTAGACCCTAAATGTTCTTCAGATGTCACTCAAGTTTTAGAGCCTAACACTGAACACAGAAGTTCAGTAAGACTGCTATATATGAGTATCTGTTGGTGCCAGTAGGAATTAACTTCTAAATCCCCATTACCTGTGTTCGGAGTAGGTTTATCAGCTTTGCGCATGTACAAGGACTAAAAGGCTGAAGACCTTTTTGGGCGAATTAGCTGGTATCTGAAAATATTTTTCTTTTTGACTTATTTTGAGTTTCATACCATGGAACAAAAATTAGACATACAAGTCATCTGAGTGGTTGGCCCAGATCTCAGCTGGCTCCCTCTAATTCATGTGCTGGGAATAGGAAGTGGGTGGTTTGGACATTTTGGCTTTGTTGCTCTGTAGTGATTTATCCAAATACATTGAGAAATAGCAAAGAAAGCATGGGCATTAGAACACACTACAGAGTGCTTTAAATCTTATGACTTCGAGATACAGCCGTTATTGAATGACAATCAACTTCTTCCCCCTTTCCCCTCCTGATATACAGTAAATCTCACATTTGTCCTGGGCTAAGATGTCATACCCCCTCATTTTGTAGAGAAAGAATACTGAGGAAAGATCAATGCTGGTTTTATGATCCTATCAGCTCTTCTGGGTCAAGATAAGATCTCTGGTAAGCAAGCAAGCAAACTGTTCTCAGCATGTTCTCTAAGTCAAAGACAGAGGAAGCCTGTAACACAGAACCTTTCATCTGAGATTAATTATTGGTAATCAAGGTTGTGAGGCAAAGAGAGCTCTTAGGGAAGGACCCTGGCAAAGAGAGGACTGCTGCAGCTCAGAAATCCAAAACAAACCTTCCTTTGCCCTACATTTATGGAAGAGTTAATACTGAAATGCGGGAGGAGGCTTATCTTTTAGGAGAGTGTTTGGGTTTCTGTTGCTTAAAAGACATTCCTTCCCAAGCTCTTTTCCTGTAGTGAGGAAGTGTAAGCCTAGAATGACCAAGGAAGGTTGGCTAGAGGATATAAATACTTCCTAGCATAGTTAGCGCTTCCTTCCTTGCTTGCTTGCATAGTTAGCATTCATTCCCTCCCTCCCTCCCTCCCTCCCTCCCTTCCTTCCTTCTTTCTTTCGTCCCTGCCTTCCTTTTTTGAGACAGATTCTCACTGTGTCACCCAGGCTGGAGGGGAGTGGCAAGATCTCAGCTCACTGCAGCCTTTGCTTCCCAGATTCAAGTGATTCTTGTGCCTCAGCCTCCCAAATAGCTGGGATTTCAGGTATGCAACACCACACCCAGCTAATCTTTGTACTTTTAGTAGAGAAGGTGTTTTACCATGTTGGCCAGGCAGGTCTCCAACTCCTGGCCTCAAGTGATCTACCAGCCTAGTCCTCCCAAAGTGCTGGGATCACAGGTGTGAGCTACCACACCCTCCTTCTTAAAAAAACAAAAAACAAACTCATTGCTAAATTTGAATGGCTTGAAAAAAAAAAATTAAAGAGTGACAGGGCAAGATCTTTTGTTTGAAAAAAAAAAAAAAAAAAAAAAAGGCTGGGTGCAAAATTCCTCCTTGTAGCCAGGTGTTCAAGACCAGACTGGGCAACAAAGCAAGACTTCTGTTGCTACAAACGAAAGAAAACAAAACAAAAGAAGTAATACTTGCTGTAGCAAGGATTCAAATATTATAAAAATATAAAGGAAAAGTGCTCCTTATTTGCCCTCCCATTTTTACTTCTAAGGTTACTATTATTAACAGTTTTTTGTGCCTCCTTCAAAAATATCCCTATGCTGTATCTTCTAGCTGTTTGCTCTCTGGATGTGCTGAATAGTTGACATTATGGGACCATACTTCATTATCCTGGAGATTCTCTATCCCTGACTGAAACTGGAACCTCAGTCTTCCTCTTTGTTGGTACTCCACGGTTAGGTGAAGCACGTCGTCTCGTAGGTTTCTGAAAAGGCGTGCTTTGGAAGTAAACTTTGTAAGACCTTATGTATCATAAAATGTCTTTTTAAAACATTTTTATTTATTTTATTTTTATTTTTATTTTAAAAGATGGGGTTTCACCATAATGACTAGGCTGGTCTTGAACTCCTGACCTCAGGTGATCCACACACATCGGCCTCCCAAAGTGCTAGGATTACAGGCCACTGCGCCCGGCCCATAAAATGTCTTTATTCTATCTTCACATGTGATATTTTGGGTAGCCACAGAATTCTAAGCTGACAAATAGCTTCTTTCAGAATCTAAGGGCGTTGTTCCATGTCTGTTTCTATCGCCGCCCTTCTGATTCTTTGTCCTTGTATGTGACCTGTTTCTTTGTTTCTCCTCTGGAACTTTTAGCGTCTTCTTGTGCACTGAGACATCACTAATGACATGCCTTGGTGTGAGACCTTTACTCATTGTGTCGGGTACCTTACCAGATGCTTTGAATATAGAAACTCATTGCCTTCAGTTTTGAGAAATTTTATCAAAAATTTTTTGATGATTTTCTCTTCATTTTCTAGTTTTCTCTTTGAGGATGTTTGTAATTCAGATAATAGATTTTTTTTTTTTTGGCTGATTTTCTACTTTTCTCTCTTATTTTCTGCATCATTAAAAAAATAAAACAAAAAAAAAACCTCTACTTTTTTTTCGTATTGTCTCCTTATGTTGCCCAGGCTGGTCTCAAGTGATCCTCCCGCCTTGGGCTCCCAAAGTGCTGGGATTACTGGCTTGAGCCACTATGCCTGGCTGCTAAATTCCACTTTTTGAGCAGTGGCCTCAATTTTATCTTCCAACCTTTCTATTAAGTTTTTCATTTCTTCTATCACACATACATATATAGATAGACACATATATAAACATATAGACATAAATACATATACACATAAATGTATGTATGGGTAGTGTGTATATGTATATGTGTATGTATATTTTAAAGACAGGGTCTTGCATTCTTGCCTAGGCTAGAGTGTGGTGATGTGACCATAGCTCACTGCAGCCTCAAACTCCTGGGCCCAAGTGATCTTTCTGCTTCAGTTTCCCGAGTAGCTGGGATTATAGGCATGTGCTACCCTGCCCAGCTAACTTTAAAATTTTTGTAGAGACAGGGTCTCACTATGTTGTTTAGGCTGGTCTCAAACGCCTGGCTTCCAGTGATCTTCCCTCCTCAGCCTCCAAAGTTCTGGGATTACAACTGCAAGCCACTGCACCCAGGCCTCAACCATATTTTAAATTTCTAAGGCTTCGTTAAAAAAAAATTTAAAACAACATATTGTTCTTTCTTTCAAGGACGCAATCTCTTTTTCAACTCTCAGAGACATTCATTCATTCATTTAGAGGGGCAGGTTTCCAATGTCCTTGCATAGTTTCTTGTTCCAAGTTGCTTTGTTCTGTTCGTGCTGGTGAGACTTCATGTTATAGACCTTCTGAGATGCGTGATGATGATGTTTGCTAATATGGAAGACTGGGACACTCATTATAAGTTATTGGGAACGTTTGTGCACATGTAGTAGGACTTGTCAACTATGGCTTCAGTATAGGGAGATGAGATTGGACTGATTCACGTAAGTTTTTTCTTATGAGCTGGTCAGATTTCCTAGAGATGAATCTTCCAAACTCCAGTCTGAAATATGTAAGACCAGCATTCTGAGAGCTGAGTTAAAGAAGAGTCTGGAGCTTTCAACATTCAATATGCAAAGTTTCATTTATTC